TGAAGGAAACATCATTCTATATGATTGCTTTGTCTCTGAACCTTTTGACACATGGTTTCTTGAATGCTTTGGTGTCTTTGACCAAGAGGATGTTATCTTTATTAAGTTTTGTTTTCAATGGCACCTGATTGGCTATTTTGAAGTTTAAAATATAGCACTAGAATACCTGAGTTTTATTAGGGAATACAAATGTTGGTAATTCCAGCTCAACTAAATAAAAAAAACCTTCTGGGAATCATTTTTTGTGAATTGATTCTGCTATTCTGAATTATCCCTAACTCTACCAATTTTAAATATGCATTCCATCATTATCCTGCCCACTGTGTAAAATAACTATAATGCAAATGCTAAATATTGCTATAGTATTCATAATGTAATCTGCAAAAAAAACTGGTGATATTATAATCCATTTTCAGATGCACTAAAGAAATACACATTCAGAGTCATTTGTGATTCATTTATATGAAAGAATTATTCTTGGGACAATTTAATGTTAGCTCTCTATATTTTATACTGAAGCAGTTGTCATGCTGGTAAGAGTCTTCCATCTCTGACAATGGATGCTACTTCAGTGCTTGTAAAGGTGACATTTTTACTCTGTCCTGCAGAATCATTCCCTTTCAGCTCGTCTATCAAGTTTCACTCAATTCAATGAAAAAGAATTTGCTTCTCTTTCTCCCTCTTCCTCTCTCCCTCCCTGTCTCCCTCTAATATCAGGGAAATTATTATGGCTGCAATATGGGAGGAAGGGGGTTGCATTTACACGACATCCGAAGTTTATGTGTGAATGTGTTTAATTCCCAAGAAAAACACAATTTAACCTCCTAATGGACTTTTTTTTAGATGGATTAGTCTGGGCATTCAAGGGAAGCATTGAAATTCTCAAGCACCTTTTCTTTTCTACCTATGATAAGGCAGAAAATGGAAGAAAGAAAACGGAAACTTCTTTGGCAGGGGAAGAAAATGTTTTAGAAATTCCAAAGCAAATTTCAGCATTACTTTTATAATCCCATGTCCTGGAATACAAAAAAATGTCCTGCCTACTGGAAAAACTGAACAATTCTATTTTTTACATTACAGACTTTCAGAGCCTACTAGGAAAAAAATGAAAAATTGTATTTCATATGTTACAGGCTTTTAGATATTTGACGACTGCTATCATACTTCTATTTATTTTCTCCAGGCTAAATATACATAATACCTCTGATGATCCCCCAATATTTATTTATTTCTTCCAGGCTATATTGGCTGCTATTTTCTGGACATGCTCCAATCTTCCTAAAATATCATAGAAATGGACATAGAAATGGACGTAGTAATCTAGGGGCAGTATGACCAACATAGAATAGAAAGAATATAGATAGTTCTTGATTACAAACATAACTGAGCCCAAAATTTCTGTTGCTAAGTGAAACATTTGTTAAGTGAGTTTTGCCCCATTTTGCAACCTTTCTTGACACAGTTGTTAAGTGAATCACTGTAGTTGTTAAATTAGTAACATGGTTGCCGATTAGACTTTGCTTGTCAGGAAGTCACAAAAGGTAATCATATGACCACAGGACACTGCAATCATCATAAATATGAGCCAGTTGCCAAGCATCTGAAATTTGATCATGTGACTGTGGGGATGCTGCAATGGTCACATGAAAAATAATCATGTCACTTTTTTCAGTACCGTTGTAACTTTGATTTGAGGTGAAACTAAAGCAAGCAAATGTTAGAAGAGATATTTTAGACCTTGTAGAGCATTGTAATGATATGTCAAAGAATGGAAATTGAAATAATTATTAAAAATCTGATAGAAATAAAGCCATGAATGCAGTAACAGTATTGAAAATGGTAATGCTGCAGGTGTAGATGGTGTAACTGAAGAAACATTAAAATTTGGACCTGGAACTTTTTGAAGTGTCTAAGCTGCTTATTGGATGTACATGACTGCACGTATGCCTGACAATTGAAATAATGCCATTACTGTTCCCATTTACAAAGGAAATGAAGGGGGAATGGAAAAAAGTACAGAGATAATATTCCTGTAATTATTATATGCCTGGCAAGCAAGAATTCTGATCAAAACACTTTCAGTAACTGCTATTATTCCAAGATCTCAGTCACTGTTATATCTAATCCCATCAGTTTGGATGAGTAGTTAGGATTTTTGGCAAGGAAAAATGGTTGTTCATAAGTGTATGGTTCTGACTATTCCGTAATTTGGAAGTGATAATTAGATCAGGATAAACTTAAAAGTACATTAAATGCAGGGGGAAATGGATTATTTTAGAAATATGTATGGCAAAACAAGATATAAGAGTTTAATTTAAAGAGCAACAGGCAATGTATGAAGTGATGTGTGGACATGATAGAGACAAGAATACATTGCAAAGATATAAAGGTATAGAGAACCATAGAAAATGATATTAATGTAAACTAGATTAAATTCTATTTTTATCTTTTCTTATGCTTTTAAATTTGTTTACTCCTTCTTCCTTTCTCCTTTTCCGACCTGAGCATTATGCAGTTTAATGCTAAGGCGAATGCCCCGTATAATTTGGCAGGATAGTAGAAACATGTATAAGTTCATGATAGCTTTGATGCTATAAATTACTCTATATCTATGTCCATGTGTGCACCTACCCTTAAGCGCTTTTTAACTCATTTTTTTTTAAAAAAACTTGGGAGTTGTTTTGATGGAAGCAGGTAGTTGCTGCTTGCTGCTTATGATACGCTGCTATGTGATGAGTTGCGGGTCCCAGTACCAGGATGAATCAGCTGACGACCTGCACCCAGGCAGACTGTCTGGGTGGGCTCCTCTTGATGGCAAAGATGACAGCACACAAAGGTTTCTTTTGGTGAGAGGAAGACCCAGATAGTACTACGCACCTCTCTTTTATTGTGCAGCAAGCAGGGGGGTGGGTTTAGGTTACATGAGGTTAGACAGGAACAGGAAACACTGCCATATATGGTTAATCTTTATGCTATAGCTGACTCAGGATTTTATACAGGGACAGGAATCATTGCCATATATGGCTAATCCTTAGTGACTCAGGTTTTACACGTAGCTGTTCCTATAGTGTCACCCTATATATGTATTGTATGTGTATTGGGTTGTCTGTGTACATGACTTCCTACTGATGTGTCATATCGCAACAGCTATGATTTTACGTTTATGTGGGAGCCCAAGTTTTGCACTTCTGAAGATAATGGCTCTAATATATAACGGTAGAAATGTCTTTGCTATGTTGGACAAAGATATACCATATCAATGAGCACTAGCTAATATTAAATGCACATAGTAATAGTACACGGAGATTGTTGGATGTAAAATAATTGGGTACATGTAACCATAAATCCAGTTCTGTTTTGCATTCCTGATTCCTACTTGCCTAGAATGACCAAAAAAAAAAAAAATCTCTCCGGATCATAATTCCATGTCCAGAGAATGATAAACTTTTATTTTCCCCAACTAACTCAGAGAGTGTCTTACTCAAGCTCTGTGTTGTTGTGACAGATGGGATGGCGGAGATCTCACATTCCTGTTGGTGATTGGAAGTGGCAAAGGAAACATCACTCTTTTTGCTTCTGACTATCTCATCAGGGGAAAGCGCTGATGCACTAAAATTAATGTGGCATTTGATTTAGGAAGCAACATTTCTAATCATTAAATATAGCTCTGGGAGTCAATCTGCTTGAACATTTATAGGTAAACATTTCATCCTAATTTTTGTAAAAAATCTAAAATCAATTTCAGTGGGAGGCATCTGTCTTTGGTAGGAGATAAAATAGACCTTAGCTTTCAAATACAAGTACATGTTCAGTACAAAATAAAGAAAAATGAACAAATTAGACAAACATGTTTTAAAATTGTTATTTTTATAAAATCCCAGTAATAAATATTGACTAATGGAATATGAGAAATATATGTTCTCGCATTACATGCTGTTGAATTAAAAAAAAGATAGATTTGAGTAGTGCAAAAAGAATGATTTGGGCTTCATAAATTTCAGGGAAAGGCTCTTTATAATTTATATGTAAACTTGATACAGTTGATTAAATCTTGGATGTTGTGTATGCCTTAAACTGATTATGAAGCTATTAAAATGGGTTTCTTACTCTCTTACTTTTATCTGAATATGGATCTAAGAATCGGTTACAAAATAATCCTCTTTCTGCAGTACCTAATCTCGGTGAAAGAGATGCAGGATTTCTTTTTTTCTAATTACAGACGCCATCTCTCATTACCGTCCGGCTTTTATGACTGCCTGCTGATACCTTTAAATAAGTGCTGTAAGAGATACTGGGAAAGAAATCCCAGCTAGGTGGCAGCATCGAATAGATACCAATTTAGAAAGTTAAAACGGGGCGCTTCTAACCTGATATTAATTTACTTACTGTAAATTTGTATTTATTTACTTCAAGGGTCTTCAAACTTGGCAAGTTTAAGACTTGTGGACTTCAACTCCCAGAACTCCTTTGCTAACATGACTGTACGAGGAATTCTGGGAGTTGAAGTCCACAAGTCTTAAAGCTTTCAAGTTTGAAGACCCCGACTTACTTATTGAACATAAGTAAATGTAACATCAAATGCAAATGACTTCGGACGGCGTACACAATGAAAACATAAAGCTAAACAATCCGGATAATTCAAACGCAACCATTAAAAATCGGTTAAAACCCAATTAAAAACTATATCATTTTATTATTTATACATACACACGCAATATTAGGCTCCTAGCTATGTGCAAGCAAGAACCAATGGTTGCAAACGAAGCTCAACCCCAAGCAAAAATCTAGAATAATTTTCGACAGGAGGCATCTATTTTCGCGGGCGAGATAGAATAACTCTCAAATACAAATTCATGTTCAGTACAAAACAAAACACTCTGAACTACTACTCTGAACCACGGATTACTACGGAATGCGGTCCTTTTTGCGCAGAAACTCCATTTCCTTCCCGTTTTGCGATCGGCGTTACTTTTAACCGCGAAGAATTTAGGTCTTCGCGAGCCACCGTCTGAGCCTTGCTAGTCACGTGGCCCTGCATCAGCTGCTGTATGGGGGGTGGTGCTGCCGGAGAGGTTGCGGTCGGCAAAATGGAAGGGGCGCTGGAGACGCATTTGGAAGACACGTAAGTGACGCTAAGGACGGCGCTGCTGCCCGACTGGCAGGTTCCCTCTCTGCTTTTTTAAGAAGGGCAGCCGGCATGGAGTTGCGGGGAGGGGGAAGGATGACTTCCTCTGTGGCCGGTTCAACTCTCACCCGTCTCCTTTTCCCTTAGGATGAAGAACCCCTCCATTGCGGGAGTCCTCTGCACCGATTCTCAGGGGCTGAATTTGGGCTGTAAGTAGAGACTCCTTACGGGAAGAGGCCGCCTTCTCACCCCGCCAGAAACTCTGCGCGGATTCCAAATCCTCCTCGTCCTCCCTTTATTTTTAAGCACTTTGGTCCCGATGCCATTTCAAATGCTGCACCTTCGTCCCTGCGCTTCTCAGCTGTTGCTTTATTTTGAATTTCGAATAAAGCCTTATGCAGCAGTGCTTCTTCTCACGCCCCCCCCCCGCAAAAAACCCCCTAATTTTTGTAAGTAGTTTCGTGATATTTAGGATGTATTGGTAGTCCCCGACTGACCGGCACAATTGAACCCAACTTTTATGTTGAGACATTTGTTAAAGCAAGTTGTTTATGACCTTTCTTGCCACCGTTGTTAAGTTGGTAACCTGGTTGTTAAGTGAATCTGGCTTCCCCATTGGCTTTGCCTGTCGCAAGGTTGCAAAAAAAAAAAGTGATCACATGACCCAGGGACACAGCAACAGTCATAAATATGAACCAGATGCCAGGCTTCTGAATTTTGATCACATGATCATGGGGAATGTTACACGGGTTATTAATGGTGAAAAATGGTCATAAAAGTCACTTTATCACTTTTATTTGGTCAATAAGTATGTTGAGGACTACCTGTACTAGATTTTTTTTTTTTTGGCTGGGAGAAGTAAAAGTAAAATAGGCTTTGTTACTCGGTTTTCCCATACTCCTCTCCTTCCCATGTAACTGCTTTTTTTTCTTTTTACTTCTATCCAAGCAATCCTATTGTTTTGTCGAAGTCTCTCGTTTTCACATGCATCCATGCTCTCTTTCTCATTTTATTTAGAAATTATAGCAGGGTCCAGAAACCTGGCTTATATGGGCCTCTTGCTGTTAGCCTTCTTTAAATCCTGCTTCTGATGAAATAGCAAGTGGTTGTTTTGTTTTGGTTATTATTATTTTTTAACTCTGTAAATGCCTATCCAGAATTTTGACATGGCAGCAATGAAGAATCCAAGCTAGCAACTTGGCAGTGGAAGTGATAATCACAGCTTATTAAACTTGTATGCCATTCAACTCTAGGAAGTTCACAGTAATCAAAGAAATTATAATAAAATCAATTAAGCATTAAAAAATTAAAAAATGCAATCTTGTAATCTTGCAGTGCGTGGTCTCAGTCTCCCATGCCAAAGGCCTTCCTGACTCTTTTAGGCAACAGCAGAGTGGGGGCCATCTAGATCTCAAGGAGAACCTAGTTCCAGAGGACAGGCAACGGCTATAGAGAAGGGGCACTTCTGAAGTCCTGAAAAATGATTGTTTAATTGAAGGAACTCAGAATGTGCCAACCCTGTAAGACTGAATTTGCCAGGAGATATTATGGGAAGCAGGTGGTCCTTCAAGTAACCAGGCTCTATGCCATGTAGGGCTTTATAGAAAACAGTTCCTTGAATTGCATTTGGAAGCAAACCAACCAGTGAGTTGGTGAAGCAGAGGTGTTAGATGGGCATACTGAGGCATGTCCATCACTGCTCTCGTTGCTGCGTTTTTGGACAAATTTCTGTCTAGTCTTCAAAGGCAGCCAGTGTATAGCACGTCCCAGTAGTCAAGTTGTGAGGTGATCAGAGCATGAGTGACTGCCTGAAGCCCCACCCCACACAACCTAGGAAGGCCTTAGTTTTGTTCCAGCAGTTTGTATTTGCAAAACTACTGAACCACCAAGCTGAACTGAATTTTAGTCAGCTTGTTCTTAGTTTCTGGTTCATTGTGGTTATGCAGATCCAGTAATTGAATATATTGTATGAATGTCACTCCCATCATCTGCGTATGAATATGTGAATGTCTGACTGCTTTAACAGCACCCATTATACAACAAGGATGAGGAAACATCTATGAAAATTCCAAGTGTCCAAGTCATGGTTGTTACAAAGGTGCTTTTCAAAAGGCAACTGAACTTTGCTTTTTCCTTGAAGAAGCTTCTTCAGTCCTGAACAATTCAGAACTAAAGGAGCTTCTTGGATGAGAAACAAAACATCTTCAAGGAAAAAGCAAAGTCCAGTTGCCTTTTGGAAAACACCTATGGGACAAGGATGGGGAAACTGCTAGCTCATGGGGAGGATTTGTCCTGCAACCTCCTGACTACTGTGATCAGATTCAAGGACCAAAGAAAACACTCAGCCAGGCTTGGCAAGTCACTTTATAGTTACTGTCTCAACTACTGCCAGTCAATGAACCACAGTGATGTAAACTTGTAAGAGCCATGGAGGAAGATGTAGACTTAATTGGCCCATTGTTTAGCAAAGAAAATGAGTAGACTTCCACATTCACTGAGAAATGGGAAGAACCCTTTTCCTCCAGTGAAAATTGCACTGACTTAATAATTATGCAATCTTTCTAAAGCCAATACTGCTGCAGTACTTTATTTGTTTAAAGAGGGAATGAATGGGGAAACACTGAAACAATAGAAATGAGAAGGAAGCCACTTTTTAAAACCTACTAAGGCAGAGTTCGTTAAACTTTCCAGCTTTGTGGACTGGAGGGAGCGGGGAGGGGGGGGAGGAAGGGGATGGTTCTGCATTAGCAACAGGCAAGCGCACACACTCGCCCACTGTTCATGCAAGAGAGGATGCATGCACAGGCCTTCCCACCACTTTTGCAGCCTGGATCTTAAGAGCTCAAAGCCTGGAGGCCAGCTGCAGCCCAGGAGTTGGAGGCGGACCCCTATACTAAGGGATACCATAAAAAGAAGTCAAAACATGAGGGAATCTTTTTTCTCTTTCTAAAGGATAAGAGGAAAGTACCAAGGCTTACAAACGACTGGTAAGCCAAAGCAAGTCAGAAGCTCTAACCTTCCTCACCTCTGTCTTACAGCTGCCAATACGATTAAAATTAGCAAGCCCACATTTGACAGGCCTTTTCATCTCGCTGCTAGACCCAAAGTCTAGTTAATAATTGTAAAGCTGTAAGTGACATAATAAAAGACTTGCTGGTTCATGTCCAAAAGTCCAACTGTTTCGGGATTTTATTGCCAAAAAGTAAACCAGTCTCTGAAAATGTTATGTAGCAGTATCGGTCCTTCAGTGCACTTTGACTTTGCATCTAGTAACTGGACATATTATCAGAAATCCAGACAATTCCTGCAATTTGCAGTTAATTATTTGAGGGGGGGGGGGATTTTTATTCTTCAGACCTAAATACAGGACATTTTTCTTTTGAATGATGCACAGTTGTCTTCTAGGTCGTGGCACTCTCTCAGATGAGCATGCAGGTGTAATATCTATTTTGGCCCAGCAGGCGGCAAAATTAACTTCTGATCCAACAGATATTCCTGTTGTATGTCTTGAATCTGACACTGGGTAAGTATAATTAATACAGTTTTAAAGACCAATATATGATTCCATAAATGTTGGTGAGCCCAGTCCATTACACGTGTGCAGTGCAATTCCCAAAAAGAACGTGGGCAGGCATGTCCATTTGATTCTGTGGTTTTCCTTTGTTGTTAAATGACTTTAACAGACCTCACTGCATCATTGCCATTTTGAATAAGGATTTCCAAAAACTAAGATTGGAAGTTAAAATTCCCCCCCCGCCCCTCTTTTGGTTCTAGAAATTTGCATACAAGTTGCATGTATAACATGTTATACTCTTATACCTGGGCATTTTCCCTTTGAGGGAGAAACATTGAGTCCATTAAATGGCTGGTATAAATTTGATTGTATTCTTCCATGTTTTATTGTTATTATAGTGTTTTAACTATTTAAATGTATAAGTCATATTCATTGTGTAATTTTTGTTTTGTATATTCTACCCAAAGTCCAAGTGAGATTGGTAGCTATATTATTATTATTATTATTATTATCATTATTATTATTATTATTACTACTACTACTACTACTACTACTACTACTATGAGTATGAGCCTCTGTGGTGTAGTGGTTAGAGTGCAACTATTCTGCAAGCTATTTTTGCTTCAGCCAGCTGCCTGCAATTTGGCAGATTGAATCTCACCAGGCTCAAGGTTGACTCAGCCTTCCATCTCTCCGAGATGGGTAAAATGAGGACCCAGATTGCTGACTCTGTAAACAGCTTAAAGAGGGCTGTAAAGCACTATAAAGCCATATATAAGTCTAAGTGTTATTCCTATATAAATTCAATAAATAAAATACCAGGTTCAATCAGTTATGTATCTATAGGAATTATACAATCATAAATAACCCCAGTCTGCACTATTTCCATTAATATTGTGTTTGCTTAAAAAAAAAAGTCTATAACATAGCTATTTATTTATTGTTTGGTGTTTTGTTTTGTTTTTCAGCAATATCATGATCCAGAAGCATGATGGCATCATAGTGGCAGTACATAAAATGGCATCTTAATCTTACACATTCACAGTATTCATTGCTCTTCAAGAAATCACTGTGGAACTGTCTTCTGCCAATTAATACACATGGGATATCCAGACTCATGAAGTCAGAACCTAGTTGAATCTGTAAACATCCTCACTTGCCTACCTTGGTACAGAGTGCAGAACTTTCATCATTTCATCTTTTGAGTAATGAAGCACTTTTTTATTTCTGGAAAGAGAGCAACTTAACAGATCACCCCAATGTTAGAGGAACTCAAAAAATTATTGAGGACGAATAATGTATTCTATGTTGACTAAATATTGTGCTTCTACAGTCCTCGATGTAGCAGAAGAATATGTCCTCTTCCTTGGCCCATTGAAACAAAGTCTATTTCATCTCAAGCTTGGCTCTTGATAACTAACATGGCCATATTTATGTGGCTTTGTTGACGTCAAATGCAATAGGTGAGCCATGGCTGCCTTCACTGAGATGCTTTTCAATTTTTCACCCTAGTCTATAGCTTTGGATTTCCTATCTCAGTCCAAATACTGATCACAACCAAATCAACATAACATTCTAGATCAGTCAAGGATGGTCAAATATTGCCACCTTGCAACACACACAAAAAAGTATTGCCACTTTGCGTATTGAGTTTAAAATAACAGCAATGTGGTTTTTGCATTGCTCTTTTCTGAAGAATCTACAAAATAAATGAGAACTTCTCTAACCAGCTATTAACTAATGTCATGATCTTATTGTGGTTGATGAGGCTATCACATTCTTTTATGTGCTGGCTACTAAAAACATACCAACAGGATTAATACTACACATGGATGTTTCTTGTCCTAAATTTTAAGGTGTAAATTTGCATAGAGAACAGTTCATCAGAGTTAAACTCTAGGGACGTAAATAAGGTTTGGGTTCAGTTTCTGGTTCTGTTTGAATAAAAACACATTAACAAGAAAATAGAATAAGGTATACCCCTATGGTAAATGGGCCATGTTTAATACAACTTTACTAGTACTTTCTATCCAAGTAAAAACTACATAGATTTACTCTTAAAATTCTGATGCTCCAAAATCAAAATACTTAGCAGCAAACTAATGAAAGAAATCTGGTGCCCTTAGTTTTCTGCCAAAAAAGTAATTATTTGGCATTGTGAGAGTCTGCTTAGCCAAAGGAAATACATTTTTTTAAAAATGGAGATAGAAGCTGGTGGCAAAGAATTATTAGGGCCAGAAACAGTAAATACCATATATTTTCGCAACATGCTATTTAGGGTACTGAACTCTGATTAACTGAAATCTACTTCATTGGTTAGATTGGCATTAACATCCTGAGTCAAATTAGCCAACCACATCTTCATAAGTTCAACAAACTCAGCTACTTGATAAATACACATCACTGGGATGGATAAGATGTGCATAACAGTTTTTCTGTATAAGCTGCAGGACAGAGATTTTGCTCTCTTTATACTCATGTCAGCAGTTCTGCAAGAAAGAAATATGCTACCTAGATAGATGACCTATAGCTGAAGAGTGCATTCTCTTGAATATGGGCAGAGCTCTGCAGAATCCAATATAAACAATGTCCCTTCAGACTCCTTTCCCAACAATACATTTGAGGGTGGAGAGAATTTCTCTTCAGACTTCCTTCCTTCCCCAGTGTATACAGGAGAAAGCTTACGGGGGTTTCTATGAGATTCTGAAATATTTTGTTGCTCCCTTCCTGTCAACTTTTAAATTGTAAGGGTAAATAATAGTGAAACTATCCAAGATTGTGGGAGAAACAGGCGAGATTTTTTATTTTTTATAATATGAGATTGATGTTTAAATGTTGACACGTTGACAACGTGGATGACTACAGATTTCCTTATTTTTGTATTGATTGCTAGTTAAGGATGTGATTGGGACACAAGACATTCTTCCATAGAGAAAAAAAACATCTGGATGAGTATTGTGTCCTTTGGACATTTAGCTGAAGCTCCCTGTTCCTTGCTGCAATGCACACATTGGCATTGTACTTAAAGGGCTTCATTAGCTTGCAATTAGTTTCTGCAGAAAGGAGAAAATAACTCAGAAGTATGTATACAATTACAAACCACAGCAGCAAACCATTGTTTACAGCCTAGTACTACTGTCTTGATGTGTGCATTGACACCAAGAATAAAATATCTAACCAAACCTTGGCTCTGCTGCCATAGGACATCTGCACTGTAGAAGAACATGCTAAATCCAAATCACCGAGGAGTTTTATGTATTAAAAGAAAGTTAAATTACTTTCTTTGCAAATCTGTATTGGAGGTTTTGTGTCAAGCCATTTCCAAAACTATATCGGCAAAAAACTGACTTTAGACATGTAATTCCCTTAGCTGGGGAAATCTGGGAGTTGAAATTATCAAATTTGTAAAACACTGGATTAGTTTGGCTTTTGAGCAATTATTTTTAAAGGGCTGCAGTTGATAATAACCATCTGTCAGGACAATGTAGCTTGTGGAAATGGCTTTAGATTATTCAAATGTAAAACTGCAGAGTATTATTGTTTTAAAGTCTATCAAAACCATGAAATAAAAGAAAGTGCAATATCATGGCCTGGATCTCAAAAAAAAAGTGATTTTTTAAATCTAACTAATTGGCATTCAGCCTGAAACATACCTCTCTTTAAGCTGAATTAAAAGGACAGGACCTAACTGAAAATAGGAAACTGGTTTAAATTGCTGGAGTTACAACCATATTTAGTTTCAGTTGTGATCTGTAAAATTGTTTACCGACTATACTTTGGATAGATTTGTATGTTTAACAACAAAAATGAATACAAATAATGTGTAGGTCCATTGAAACCTTTTGATGGGTCAGGACTCTAAGAAAGAAATCTACTAGGAAGTCCTGTTCATCTTGTAAGAAATATGAGCTCATTACAGGAGTAACATTTGAATATTTGCAGAACAAAGTTTTAAAGCAATTCCGTTTAATAGTTTTAATGTCAAAATGTCAAAACTTACTGGGAAGTTAAACAATCCATTTAATTGCTTGTTAAAAAATACTAGGGTTTTTTTTTTAAATAAAAAAAATCTTCAGTTACATTGTTGCTAGGCAGCTAGGGGAAAGATTACACTAGAGAAGATGAAGAGGTGATCAGGTGGTTTTCTCTGTCCCTTGCTGATCGAAACTGTTACAGATGGTCTGGCAAACTAAACTGAACTCAATGGTATGCCCCAGAAAAAGGAGAAGAGAGCAAATAAAGAGGAAGCAGCAACAGGTCTTACAAACATTAACACACCACAAAAGAAACGGCTTTGGGCTATTTTCATCAGATTCTGGTCTACTTGTCAGGACCCACATTTTAAAAATCCAGAAGCTATAGTATAAAACAAACTTTTTAATTCCTGGCAACCCTACTTTAAAGGCCTACTTTGTTTAGTTAAAAGCATTGGCAGGAGCCATCAAGCTACAGTAGCACCAATCTTTGCTAACAGAAAGGAGGAAAAAACTAAAAAGATAGCAATTAAAATTCCGTCTTGGTTATATATTTCATCCTTTAAAACATTTGGTTAAAGATTACATTGAAAGCCTGCAGCACATACCTATTAAAGCAATTGTGCAGACTGCCTTGGTTATTACATTTCTGAGAATGCCAATGGCAGCAACTGTCTGGAGTTCAGAAAAGGATGGAGACTCTGTGGAAAGTAATAAAAACAGCGAAGGTCCCAATAGCACAGCAATTCCTGATGGAGGATGGGGCTGGCTGATTGTTCTCAACTTTTTTCTAGTAAGAAACAGATAAGTTACTGGTACTATGTAGAGTATGGTTTGATGTTGCTTAAAAGTCATGACAAATAGAAAAGGCACTTGGTTTTAATCACGTGTGTTGAATTTTTAAAATATTGAAGAAAGGAGGAGAGGTTTTTCTCAGATTAAATGGCCTGTAACATGTTCTGGCCAAAATCTAAAACTATATAAAGAACTTAAGGAATGGGTAAGAATTGTTGCCCCTTTAGTAAGAACTTAACAAACATTTGAGGATTTCTTAACAGAATGGAAAACAAAAATATAAATTGTAGTACAAGATCCATACACTAGCATCTTTCTAGAGCTGTTTCTTTAGAGTTGGTACTATGAATTTAATTGGAGATCTATTAGTTGAAATCATGTGCTGTGCTTAGCTATTATTTTGTTTGGTTTTAGCATTTAGCCAGTCATTTTGGCTTAGGGAACAAACTATGATTGAGTAAATAATGGCATAGACTGACATGTGACTCCATGAAATTCCTGCTATCTTTGGTACCAAATAATAAGTTATTTGGTAATAAATAGAAGTGATAGATATTATAGAAGTTACAATTGACTTTTGGTAATGAACGTGTTATACCAATCAGGTATCCCTCTCCAGATCATGCTGAAAGTAATATCTGTAAAACTGCTGGTTTTCTATTCTTAGTGTAAAAAAATTAACGTCTGGTTGACTCTTGACATAAGTTTGCTTTTGGTTGTGTGTTGCAGTTCCCTACAGAAGGGGAAATAATACAGTGCTATATAGTGTGAATTACAGTAAACAAGAGATGACAAAGAGTGTGAGCAAGTGTCTTCAGTGCATCCTTGCACGTAGGGCTACAATTAGCAGTTTAACCAGAGCTGAGCAAATCTCCAAGTCATGGCTGCCATCTATTATTTTACCAGCAATTCTAAATCAGGAGAACCCTAATATTATGAGTCTGTTTTCTTTGAAGGAGTACAATTTCAAGAATCAAAGATGGTATTATCCTGACATCACTAGGCCTCTGAATAAATAGGCACTCGCCCCTTGCATGAGTCTCACCCTACCTGCAGGCATTGGATTCGGACATCTCCAATTTGGCTGAAGGAGGAGATATACAATTAAGGTATCAGCATTACCAACATACTGAATACCTCATCTCTCACTTTGAACTAAGTGATGACCTTTCCCAAACACTTTATGTAGATGCAAGCAGTACAGGGGGGAAGATACCTTTGTGTCAGTGATCCGTGGCACATGATACCCTGTTGTTACTACCAACCAGATTCATCCAATTGCAAAGGAGTAGAACTGTCCTAAAGGAATGCCAATTCCCAGGGGATTCAAAAGGATACTGGGATCTACAATATTGATGGCTGCCGAAGGGCTTTGTCAAAAAGCCCGAATATTTTGTGTGATATATACGAGAAACAGAAAGAAAAGCAGAAAGCTGTGAAAGTCTGAGAGAGAAAAGTGTGGGGAAGGGCAGAGATAGATATGAACTGAAGGCAAAGAGAGAATGGCATTATAGCACCAACCCAATGGCATTCTTGATACAATGGATTGATCAGCAAGCAAATCATCCAAATGTCGAAACTAAATAATTCTAAATAATTCTGAATTAAATAATAATTTAATTCAGAATAATTTCTAAAAGAATAGAAATGACCACTGCATAGTCTGCATTCTGTGTCACTGTAATGTGGGTTTTTGCAGCAAGGGAAATGTTGCTGGTTAGAATTTTACTAGAAGCACATAACTGCTAGACAATGCCAAGAAAAGTATAGGCTGTACAGGTTTGATGGGTTAGTTGAGTTGGAGGTTGATTTTATTGTAAAGTGAAAGCCAAAAAAACTCACCACAGTTCTTTCTTCAATCACAATCCTATTTCTAAAGATATTTTTTAATGGCCAACCTTATCCTATGGGGACAATAGGGCCCAGCTTTGCCATTGTCAGCCCAGTGCCTAAGCCACGTCCCTTTCTCTTTTTAGAAATGGGATTGAAAAATGTTCTGCCCTATTGTGGGTCCATCACCAGCAACACTGACACTGGGTCAATTCTGTAGCAAACTAAACACTCATCCCATCTCATTTGTTGTCTGCCATGCCTGGAAAGAGAAACTGAGGCACAAGAGAGAGAGCATTATTCGAATGTGTGTAGAGAGGATATAGACAGAGGTGGTTCAGTTGACGACGTTATTTGAACTTTCAAACAGCTTCTGAAGAAAACAAAAACCTCACTGAAGAATTTTGAATAAGATTCTTATGAATTAAAATAATAAGCTGATTCTGTAAACCACTTAGAGAGCTGCAAAGCACTATGGAGTGGTATATAATTTATGCAAAACATAATCACTGAACCGGTAGTAACGCTGGTTGAATCCCACCCCTGGTTGTGCAATGATTTTAGGTGTGCAAAAACTAGTCTATATAACCGTTTCTCCAACAGAACTCTGGCATAAAGCAGGAATTGCTCATACAGGTAGTCCTCGTTTAGTGACAGTTGGGACAGTCCTTAATCACTAGGTGAAATTGCTACTGTGCTTATGATCTACTTCACATTTCCTTTGATTTTACAGACTTGGGAAGGTTGTAAATGTGAGGATTGGTTGCAGTTACTTTTTCATCACCATCACAACTGCAAACAGTTGTTAATCAAGGACTTCTTATAATGTTATAATTTGTATCCAATGCCTCTTCCAGGTATATTTTTCCTTTTTAACTTAAGTTCTAAGGGCATTCCATTTTTGAAATCAGCTCTGAGTTCTCATTATATCCAAATTCATCTCTTCTGGTGATCTTGGCCAAACCGGGACTACTCAGCCTGATTTTTACCACAATTTTGTATGAAAACTTTGCAGTTTCCTCCCTTCTTCTGTTCACCATCACAAAATTCTGTGATGTTATTTAGGCTGACAGATCATAGCTCAGGCAAAGTAATCCAAAACATAAAATTTATGTTTTAAAAAATATTTCGTATCATCATTTTAGTAAACACAACAGGTTTCAAAATATTCAAGATAAAAACACAGGCTTTCAGCAAAGGTCTTCCTCTTCCCTTAATTTTTTTTTCTCAGTTCAGATACTAGCTGCGTCTGCCAGTGTGATACCTAGTTTCATCCTCTGGTCATTTAAGAAGAACACTGCAGAGTTTTGCATTGGAGTGCCAATTAATACTCCATTTTACATTTCAATTAATATGATACTGATTATTTTTGTAGGTAAATGTATTTGTAATTGGAACACTGAAAAACTTTGCCATTTTCTTTGTGGCTTTTCAAGAAGACATTGGTGGCTCTTCTGAACATGTCAGCTGGATTGGTTCCATTATGTCCTCGCTTCGATTCCTAGCAGGTTAGTGTAATGTACTGTCTCTTTAAATACATACCTAAATGCATTTGACTGGACTGTGCTGAGATTATGTCAGTGTAAGGTCAGTTCATGATTGGTGTCCAATTTGCCAAGTTTAGGCCCAGAGCTGTGGGGAAGTGGTACTCTTACTCAGAATGCCAAATGTGCTTCTAAAAATACCTCCCTACCCCCAACCTCCCTACCTACATCTGCTTTTAGTCATTTGCCAATCTTGTTTACTGACTATAACTCACACATTAGAGTTCTCACCTGTAGTTTTCATAAATCAAAATCTTTATGAAAACCATTGTAAGTTTAATAAACAAAAATAGGTAGTTTGATAATTCCTTAAAGCTTAAATATTTTCCCCTCAGTGTTTTCCGTTCCAGAAATGGTATCTGCAGTATTTCTCGAGCTATCATTAATGCCAATTTCCATCTGCTCTGTTCCAGCACCTCTGGTAACTACAGTGTGTGAAGTGCTAGGAGAACGGAAAACTTCCTTGTTAGGGGCTCTCCTGGTTGGTGCTGGTTTTCTTATCAGCACACTGGCCACAAGCATTCCTTTTCTTTGGGTCTCTATGGGACTCCTAACAGGTAAGTGAACCATGTCAAGTATATTCAATAAGCCCCTCCAGAAACTTTTCACTACTTCGGGATAGAAAGAAATGTCAGATGATGCTGCCAGCCGACTGTGTTGACTATTCACATCATCCTTAATCTTGTTTCTGCCTGAATTTTGGACAATAATTGGATTCAAAAGTGCATTAAGTCCAGGTTGCTAAATTGAGGCTGTTACATGGAATGCTACTACAACTATTTTAAATTGGTGTTCTGTCCTTAAACAATTAGAGAATATTTTAAAGCATGATATTTAATTTGTTCTTTCCTGCATCATCTTTTGAGGGGCATGAATAACTGTTTAACTGAGGCAAGGCCAGAGAGTGCTGAAGCATACTTCTTTACATTGTTTTTAAAACTTTAAGAGTTCTTGATTAAATTGAATGCTTGTATTGGAGACAAGATACAAAAATAAAATACCACAAAAGCTTTTGTTATATTGCTATTGTTAGAAATATATTCTTACCTTTATATCACTTCATATTAAGAAGCTAGTCAGATATTTAACCACATTGCAATATTATATATAGCATGATGGCATGATGTTGATTCTGATAAGACAAGGATTATCCAGGGTTTTAAGATTTCCATGTCTGTTGTATGTATTTTATTCTAGAGAAGATTAAGTCGTTGACATAGTAACATCATATCACAGAATTATGGTCCCTAAATGTGTACTACTTCAACTGAGTAACTCCTATGTTAGGTGACATCATTTCAAATTAAGGATTATTGTATTCGAAATAAATTTACCAAACCTCAGACTAGAGATCTGTCTATGGCTATTAAAATTCTAGTATGCACTAGAACAACACTACCTGTCAACAATCCAATCTTTTTTTTTCTTTTTTTTTCAACAGCATCATTTGAAATAATTATCTTGTTATTGGCGGGGGGGGGGAGTAAAGTTTAAAACACAATTGATTCAGAGTTAAGAACTGTCCACCTGGAAGCATTGCATATTTGTGCAATTCACTGTTTGTTTAATTAAATGAAATAAAAACACATTCCTACAGAATGTGTAGAAGATTCTGCTCCTGCTCATTAAGTTTTCTTTCTTTAGGGTTGGGTTTTTGTCTGTTATATCAGACAGCTGCCGTCATGATAGTTAAGTACTTCAGGAAATATCTGGCTTTAGCCAATGCAATTGGCCGCTCGGGAATGGGGCTGAGTGTTGTGCTAACACCACTTGTTCAATTCCTGATAGAAATGTACAGTTGGCAAGGTTAGTCATCTTCATTTCTTATATCTTCACGCTGTTAATATGTGAAAGTAAGTTGATGTTAAACTTAACATTACAGTCAAATAATAACTGAATTTTCATTCTCTTTCAGTCATTCAGTTTCCTCTCAGTGATATAAATGAAGTGAGAAATCTGCTTTAAGCGTACTTAGTTTTGATACAAAAAGAAAGATACACTGTGCTTTAGATTTTCTACTTTAATTGTCGTGATTTTCTGACAGGACAATTTTATAAAGAGTTATAGAAATCACATTATTTCTATTCATGTGTCACCTCAGAATAACAAAATAGCATTTTAGAGATTAAAACAGAGGTTGATTTTAAATAGCTCGAAAACTTTTTTTTCTTTTTAAATTTCACTTAGTATAAATATAAAAATTAATACAGTGTTACGGGGTGGGGGTGGGGGGGTGGGAATCTTGGTAAGATGGACAATCTCTGAGAATTGTCAAATGCATTATTATTAATATTGTTATTTACTTAAGGGATATTTACCATATCTACTACTAATGGTGTTTATCTTTATCTTTCAAGAATAAAAGCTTTGACATAATTTCAAGCAGTGCTGAAAGTAGATTCCATACAGCATAGGGAATAAGGAGATTGTTGGCTACTGCTTGAAAATTACCAAAATAAATAGCCCTGAAAAGTTCAGTATAAGGGATATTTATCCATATGCTAATTAGTTCTGTGACTGTAATGATTTTTAAAAAATATTTTTAAAAATATTATCTTTTCCCATTCATTCAGGTTTCTTATTGATATATGGCGGCATCATGTTGAACCTTGTACCTTCTAGCCTGTTACTACGGCCAGTTCATAAGAAAAAAACTAGAGACATAGGTCCTAAAAGTGAAGGCCAAATGGTTGTACTAAGTATGTTTCGAGAAGCTTTCAAAGGCAGCCTAGATAAAACCTGCACCAGAGAATTGAACATACTGGATCCTCCCAATCAAGAATGTGCTAAATCAGACAACCTGCAACAGTCTAATAATTTAGTCTCAATTATCTACAAGTTTTCTGGAATGCCACAGAAAAACACTTGTGTGGATGCCTATAAGAATGATAACCAAACTGGTGATCAAATTTGCATCCGATCAAATGAAGGAAAATCCAGGGTGCAGTCTTTTATCCAGAAGCAATGCCATCTTGTTGTCTCTCACCTGAAAAATCCCTTCTTCCTTATTTTCACGTGGTCTTTTCTCTTCAGTCAGCTTGCCTATTTTATCCCAACTTTCCACCTTGCAGCCAGAGCCAAAACATTGGGTATTGATCCAATGGATACTGCTTACATCATATTAGTAGCTGGTAAGAAAAATCTCCAACTTTTAAAATGTTTCTTGTAAAATGTCACCATTGCTTAGCCATGCAAATCATATTAATTATGTAATCACTAATTACATATGGAGCACATCAAAATGTATAATTGTTTATAGTTTAAAAGTCAACTCAAAAGAAATCAAGGCATGTGTGTTGATTCAAATTCTAAATTTAAACTCAATTATTAGACAAATACTGAAGTGAAAAAGAAATTACAATGTAACACTGGAAAAATATTTAATATATAGTTCTATGAAATGTGGTTATGCTTAACTTTCAAGACATTTTATTCAAAGGTGTGCTTCTGTAATTATGTATAGTTTTGGAAATCCACCTTAACAACAACAAAATATGTTCTTAAATTTTATTAGCATTAAAAAAAATCTCAGTACAAAACTCCATCTTTATTACATATTTTTCTTAAAAGATAAACCAATAGTTAAAATGACTTTATTATTCATTTTCAATTTAAACCAATCCTTTAAATTTTGCTTGAAAACACTGATGCAGAATAGGGGTTAAGAAACTGAGGTGTCAGAGCCAAATCCACCTTCCACCTAATGATGGATATTTTTGAGGCAAAATCAAGCAGCTTATGTAGCAAGAGAACTTAACAAAGGGCAATTTGGGGGATGAAGAAAGTTATTACTGGAGTTATTACTCCAGATGCTAAACTCCAATTTCATTTAGCAATGCATTTTGCCATAAAATTATTGGCCGGAGCCTATGAATAACTATACAGTTTAATCATACAAGGAATGTTCAAAATTCTCAGATATGAATGCATCAGATGGAAATAAAACTTTATATGCCTAACAAAAATAAAGCAAAAGTGTAGTACTGAACATTCATATAATTAAATGTACTGGGCTTCAGTCAATTGAATATGGAGCTGAAGTGGGCGGGGAAAGCGGGGGGGATAACAGTTTAATAATAATGAAAAGATGCTTCATTGTAGCATTCAGGAATTTACCATATAACATACTGGGCAATTTTTGAAACATGTGGGAGAATGAGAGATGCCAGGAATTTGGTGTTGAATCTTGAGAATGATGGAATTGAAAATATGAATGGATGGAACACTTACCACCCAGATAAGAAATCTGACAAATGAGGCCACAGCCAAGCAGTAGGAGCATCTACCAGCAAGCCTATAAGTAGTATAGAAAAGGGTATTCTAAATTGCCAGAGTGATTATTTTTATTTTTCCCATTTTGCAGGTTATTTTTGTTTCATGTGAATTAGCACAATCTGGTTACCCTCAGACTTGACAGTTTATAAACCACTTTATAAATATTTACCATATGGCCTCTTGCAGTGTTTTGCAGCATGTTTTTTTCCCGTTTATTAATGTTTTAATTAAAATAATACAAAATAAAATTAGAGAGGGCACAAAATCTGATACTAGGACATAGATATTATGGCTAGGTATATTTATGTCCACAGGTGCTATATTGATGATATAGGTTTTAGAAATTTACAAGGTGCCAGTTCCTTCATTTTGATCCTTATTTAGCACCCAAAGAATTCTGTTTTAGAAATTATGTGTTTTTGTTCTGTTTTCTTTTAGGGATAGTAGAGACAGTCAGTTTACTAGTCTCTGGCTGGATTGCTAGTCAAAAGTGGACTAAGACATACCATTACCATAAAACATACCTCATTCTTTGTGGGCTCACTAATCTGCTGTGTCCTCTGGCTACAACCTTTCCATTACTTATGAGTTACTCTGTAATTTTTGCCATTTTCAGTGGTGGATATCTTGCATTGCTGCTTCCTGTGCTGGTAAGTGGAAAAACGTAATTGAACAATGAAAATATTAGAACAGTAGCACTTTACATTTCCAAATGATGACATTTGCTTCAATTCAGACAATGCTAGAGAACTGCATGTTTCAGGGCCAGTCAGAAACATGAATTTAGGAGGCAGAGAAAGAACTGCATAGAAACATCAAAAATACATTTTACTGATATTAATTTATTATTAGTTAAGCACTGATCTGCCCTTTCTTGGGTTTTTTTACCCTTGAAAACATTTTGCTTCCTATGTAAGAAGCTTCTTCAGTTTTAAGTCAGAACTGAAGAAGTTTCTTGAATGAGAAGTGAAACATTTTCAAGAAAACACCCCACGCCCCCAAGATAGCTGTTTTTTGGAAAAGCACCTTTGGGACAAATGTGAGCTAGATGATTGAGAATCTCTATAGACAATGATCTGCACTATCTTAGGGCCAATATTTTTATTAGGTTACTGTACTTTGATGGAAGGGTTAAGGTACCAGGCTAGAAAGCAAATTGTGAGTTCTAGTCCTGCTGGGAACTAGTCTGCCGAGGAAGATGGTAATGGCAAGGCATTTCTGAAATCTTGCCAAGAAAAGTATAGGCACTACTTTAGGCACTTGCCAGGAGTTAACTCTGACTCAAAAAAAATTGCTGTTTTTAAAATTACATATTTAACTTAACTATTAGGTTTAAAAAAGAAAGCAGGTCCAGACTGAAGGTATGCTATTGCTATTTCTTCAAACCAATTATTCATTTACCATGTTTGCATCCTCCTAACCTGAGTTTCCTGGATTGTAATCCTCTTCAACCCACTCATCATATCTCGTATTAGTGTACTGAAACTGAAAACAATGCACATTTTCAATAAATAGTTTATATATTAATGAGAAATGTTTATGGAAAGCTAAACCTCCTAAAATGTATTTGGACAACTTAACCTACTTGATTTTCAACAGTGCCTAGAGCCATGATGGTGAACCTATGGCATGCATGCCACAGGTGGCACACAGAGCCATTTGTGCCAGCATGCGAGCTGCAGGCAAACTTACCTCACTGCGCATGTGCGTGCTTCACAGCTGATTTTCGGCTTCCCAGAGGCTTGAGGAAGGCTTCTGCAGGCTTTGCAGCCCGAAAACTAGGCCCGTTTCATCACTTCCTGTTTTTCCAGAAATACCAGAAGTGACAAAATGGGCCTAGTTTTTGGCCTGCAAAGCCTGCAGAAGCTTTCCTCAAGCCTTTGGGAGGCTGAAAAAGGCCCCAAGCCGGCCAAAAATAAGCTGTGAGGCGCAGTGCAGGTAAGGGAATGGCAGGGTGTGGGGAGTGAGATTGCACGTGCATGTGTAGGGGGCATAGGGGTGCATGCATTGCCTTCTGGGTGCTGGAACACGAGCGCGAGCATGCAAACGTGCACACAATTTTTGGCACAGGAGCCCAAAAAAGTTTGCCACCACTGGCCTAGTCTCAAAGAGATGAAATGACTATATAAATTTGATAAATGTATTTTAAAACATTTATGTCACTGACCTTTTATCTTCCATCTATTTTTTGTGGAATGAGACTTATTATATTTTAAAACAAAAAAGCAAAGATGTAACACCTGTGAAATGTAGTCAGATGTCAGGGACTTCCATTTCCTGCTTTGAAAGCAACTGAGTATATTTGGCTATTAATAGACAAGGAGCTACAATGTGATCCCAAATCACATAACACATTGACATTGTGGTATAGTTCAAATCAGAAATTCATAGAGAGGAAGTTGTTTTGGAATAGTTGGGCTAACAGGAATTAATATTTTAAATTTTTGTTGAATTTTAGCGGCGATTTTAAAAATTTTGAGATATTGTCTTTTGAGTTCAATTTGCATTCAACATATACTTTGTACTATGTAAAACTGAAATCTGTATTATCAGTATCAGCAGGATGCTTTGGCAGCCTCCAAGACATCTGAAATTTTAGCTTCTTTAAGAGATTCTGTTCATAAGCTAAAACCAACAGTTCATTTTTATACATTATTAAAATGTGTGTGAATGTTTAACAAAAGATAAGACTTTTTTGTCTTTTAATGTTGGCAATTTAAGAAATTTTAAGTTCTTTAACTCATATTATTTGATTTTACTGTTATAGCTGTGTTATAATTTTATTAAATTATAACAAAGGTATCTATAGCAATATAAAAATGGCTTTATCAAAACTTAGAATACAACAAAATATAATCTTAAATAGGTGGAAAGGCACTCTTGCGATTTTGAGGAATGACAAGACAGGCATTGAATCTACTTTTGGAAAGTCTATGCTCTAAAAACGAGATCAGAGTTAATGTTAAATTTAATGACTGAGTTATTTTTATATACTTATGCATGTATTTGTATGGATCCTTGGGGGCTTTTTTCTCCTTATCTTTAATTTAAATATATTAGTTATTTAATCAGAATATATTTTAAATGTATTAATATATATTTTAAATGTATTAAATGTATTTTTCTCTTCTATGTATTTTCATAATATAGGTGACTATTTTTACAAGTAGAGCAAGGCCTCACTAAACTCTGTCCAAATATGTCACATACCTGCCCCACCAGTTGTGGCACAAATTTGTTACTAAGAGCTTAGTGATCACAAATAGAAGCAGGTAACATTATGTGATCATTTTTAATCACTATAACAGAAACAAGAACTAAGAAATATTGGTTCCTTTAACAGGTAGATCTTGTAGGTGCAGCCAGATTTCACAGTGCCTTGGGACTTGCCTCATTCATTTCTGGGTTTGGAGTTATTGTTGGACCTCCTATAGCAGGTAACACAATTGTCATTTTCTTTCCTTGAAAAAATAATTCTTCTAACCATATAGTGCACTGTATTTTTCTTTCAAAATACAAACTACAATGTGATTTATATATGCTTTTACATTTAGGAAAAATCCTATCAAAAGTGTAAAGAAAGGAAAAATAAAAGTACCTATGTACAATTTGGCAATGTAGTACTTAGTGTTACATTTCATCTATTCTTTTCCTCATTTCATCACCCTTAAATCTATTTCTAATAAAGAGCAGAGATTTCTTTCTGTTCATAAAATGCCAGGTATGTTGACAGTGCTGTGTAAAGAATAGAATTTATCACCCACAATTACTACAGACAAGAAACCATTATCTTATTTCTTCACTGCTCAATTCCTTCTTGTACTAAAGTTATCTTTTTTTACATTATAATTTCCTTTTAAACTTTTGTTAATAGATATCAGAGCATTCTTCCTTTCTACTATTACAAGTTACTCCCTGAAGGTCTAAATGAATAGCTTAGTTCCTAAAAAAATCCTTATGGGCATACACAACAGCCAAAATCTATATCTTAAATATCTGCCAGGCAAACAGATGCGTCCCTGAAATTATGAAAAAAGAGTTGAAAGTTCAGGTAAACTACCCAGATAGATTTTAGCTTCTATGTTTGTAGGTTAAGGATAATACTTTTCAATCTTTAAGGCATTTAAGCCATAAAGATTATTCAATTGTAAAAGGCTGTGAAATTCTCAAATTTAATTTGAGATGATATGACCTATGTGGTAAGGAAATTAATTAATAGGATTATTTGAAGCTATTATAATAGAAGTTCAAAGCAATTTAACAATCTAAGGGAAACAACAATTGTTAAGATTTTTTTTTAGCACCCATGAGGAAAATAAGGAAAGGATGCAAGTTTTCATAAAACCAATGTCAGATGAGGAAAGAATGTTTATTGAATTGACCACAGATAGGAAATGAACCAGAGACACTTAATACCTTTGTAATACAAATGCAGAAAGAGGGCAGAGAAATTGGAGAGGTTCTACCTGGGATCTTTGCATCAGTCTTCACTGTGAAAGATGTTAATGTGGGACCCACACCTGAAGCATATTCTAGGGAACGGGCCAGGGACTGCCTCTGAAGAGCTGTGCCAAATAGAAAAAATGTAAGAGGTTTTAAAATTAACACATTAATAACTACGTGACAACATAATTTAGAGTTCTTGAAAAACTTCTAGTAAATTATTGTGAGTGTTAATATTTAAATCTGTTTATTAGTCCTTCCTTAGCAGCTAGCAATAAAAATGGTAACACCAAAGCCGTCTTGTTTTCTGGAGTATGGTCAAGTTGTCAAAGTGGATACTGAGAAGTACTAGTGAGACAGGATTCATTTCCAGAAGACAATCATCGTAAAGTTTTAATGTGTTTTATATTGCAATTGTATCCATACATCCTATCTACCTAAGAGGGATTAATAGTATACACTGGATGTGGATTCAGTGATTCAAGATAGTGAAACCTAAAGCAGAAGAACTTTTAAAAAATAAATGAGCAATTAAGCTACATGGTTATATACTTTGAGCCCAACAAAACCTATATTCTTAAAGCAGTAGAGGCTTAACTGCAAAGATTTTCACCTGAGGTAAACATTTCATTATAATACGCATTGGAAGTTAAACATGAACACTGGATTTAATAGGAAAAGAGTTGAAAACAAAATGGCAAGTACTGTTTTGAAATAATTCTGTAGGTAACATCATTTGGTATAATCTGGAGACATTTCAGAAGGTATTTCATAGCCCTAAAACCAACAGAAAAGAGTAAGTGAAATAATCAGAAATATGATCGTGTCCATATATACCATGTTAAGGCACTGAGACTTCAAAAAAAGAATAGGGTCAGAATTTCATATGTATATTCAGTAAATGTGCATATTCTTTCATTTCTAATATTTGAGCTCATTCAGTGCAAGTTATCTGCTATAGATTTAAATTAGAAAAAAATCATAGTTTAAGGCACAAAATAGCCAAGCTAACAAACAGAAGGTTACATTTATAGCCAAATTCAAGTTTGAATCTACATTTTTATGAAAAGCAGGTATTAAGCCTTGAGGGATAAAAATAATTTGTTCAGATACTGTTGTGTATGAGAATTGGAGTAATTATGGGTGTGGGGGGGGGGGACTATTTTCTGCATACAGGAAGCATCAATATGGGCGTTATTTTAATGAAGAGAACTAGACTGGCAAAAATCTTATGATCCCCTAGTAATCCAATTCATACATGTAATACATAGAAGTACCACATAATTGTGAATCAATATAAATAGGTTTTCAGGCAGGATCTACTCCAGAGTGCTTTAAATATGAGCCATATTGTTTCAATGTGGGAACAAGCCCTCTGGTGGTAAATTTTAATAGTTTGCCAGAACAAGAAAATCCTCCACAACGTAATTGCTATGGGATCATGGGGATTTATTCCCAAGTAACCATGTGAACACCAATGGGATCTCACCAAATAAGAGATCACTTGGTTCTATAAATGCTAGGGGTGGGATAATAGTACATTACCTCTATGGATTTATATACTTTTTCAAAAGATGTGTTTTGCCCATTTTCAAAATTATTAATACCTAAAAATCTGTGAGGCAACATATCAAACAGTATAACCAGAATTCATTCTACATACATTACATAAAATTCACCAAAATTAAAAATATCCTTATATGTGGGTGTATAGGAATGTTTAGTCTGAACACAAGACAGAATCTTCTGCACCACTCAAGTACTCCACAGCTCAGTACTACTGCAAAAAGCCTCCATCTCTTCTTCGCTGTCAAACGTGGGGTTCACGAGCAGATCCTAAAATACAGAGAGACTGAGCAAGCAGAAAAATTGACTGGTGAAAGAAAAACTGAAACAGATAATTATTTAATAAACATGCCATGAAGAAAATTAAAGGAATGAAATATATTTACCTTGGAATAAGACATCAGCTCCTGCAATTGAAACCAATTAAGGTAGATTAATATATAAAACATAATCTTTATTGCTACTTAGGTTAAATGATGCAAATGCAGTATTGTTGAGGTACCTACATGGTTTTTAAAAGTGTTGCATTAGTAATGATATGAAAAGACAACTACACTAAATGAGAATGATTTAATAACCAAATCCTGCTGTTCCTCTTACTTACAGGTTGGCTGTATGATTACACACAGACGTATGCATGCTCCTTCATTTTGGCTAGTATATGTTTCCTTGTTTCATCCATTTCATTTTTCTTGGAACCTTTAGCCCAAAAATGGAGACACGAAAGTTGAATCCACTATATCAGCAGACAAAATTCTGCAATTCTCCAAAGCTTGATCTTGTAGAAATTATAAATTTTCAACAATAAACTTAATTATGGGATAGTGGCTACAAGGTGTCTTTCAAAAATATTCTGGATATTCTGGACAGCTATAAGCTATGCTGTGATTATATATTGCTGTATCGTTGCATGTGGTCAAATAGAAGCTGCTCAGCTATTTGTTATGGATGCTTTGATTCCTGCAATCACCAAAGAGTCATGGTCAAAACGGCTTCTTTGAATTGTTGTTTCATTTAGCCAATTGTGTTCGAGTCTGAAAATTATTGCAGTTATTATCCAAAGCAAATGGAAATGTTAAATTAGATATCCCTTCTCGTACCTTGACAGCTGCTTGATCAATAGTCCAAAATAGAGGAACAGGGGAGATGCAAGTTTAAGTATAACATCAGCTATATGCAGAAACTCACATGGTATCACTCCTTCTCAGGCCAACCTACCTCACAGGAACGTGGCGGGGATAAGTTGCCTGGAGTTCCTGGAGAAATAGCAGGATAAAATGCTAACTATCAGTTTGTTCACATTAGCAGATTATCACTCATTTAAAAATAAGCAAACAAACTAAAAAGAACATATCAACCCTTTTTTTAGAGGGCAAATAAAACTATATTCTGAGAATTAAAACAAGATCTCATTTTTGCGAAAAAGAAAATAAACTTCCTCTTTATAATATCAGACCAAATTAGGAAGCAAGTTTTGTAATTCTTCATATTTAATAAATCTGAGGACTACAGCCACAATTGAGCCAAAAATTTATGTTGATAAGCAAGACAGTTGTTAAGTGAGTTCTGCACCATTTTACGGCCTTTCTCACCACAGTTGTTAAGTGAATCAATGCAGTTGTTAAGTTAGTAACGGGGCTGTTAAGTGAATCTGGCTTTCCTATTGACTCTGCTTGTTAGACAGTCACAAGAGCTGATCACCTTGGGGCACTGCAACCGTCATAAATACATGTCAGTTGCCATGCCAGTTCTGAACTTTGATCATGTGACCATGGGGATGCTGCAACTGTCATAAATGTGAGAAATGATCATAAGTCACTTTTCCAATGCTGCTGTAACTTTGAATGGTCACTGAACAAATTGTTGTAAGTCAAGGAATACGTGTACATTGAGGCTTTTACTGTATCTAAGAGAAAGGTTTGAGAACGGAAAGTCATTTTCACTCCTTTGATCTTTCTCCAACCTTTTCCAAATAATGTTTTCTAGAAATGTCAGATTATGAGTTTTCAACTAATAGGCAGGACTTACAGTCCAATATCCACAAGGCCCCATATTGGGAAATTTATGGCTGCAGTACTCCCAATATCTCTTTAAAATGTGAAACTGGAGGAAGTTAGGTGTATCGATAGCTACCAGAATTAGAAAACGCAATTGGTTTTGTGTCCAACAAGGAACACTTACCCAAAAGTAGAAAGAAAACCTTTGAATTATTATATGAATGTGCCTATCTTACATGTTAAAAAGTTTATATAATAGGTTTGCATTTGTTCAGATCCAAAAATCATTGTGGTTTGTTACATATCTGTGCATATAACTTCCTAATGTATCACTTCCTAATGTGTTTGAGGTGAGACAGAAATTGGGGGTGGGTGTCTAAGGCATATATCTCTATGGAGATATATACAGTGAATATAAAAAGCCTACACTTCCCTGGTTGAAATGCCAGGTTTTTGAGATGTAAAAAAAAAATCAGACTAGGAAAAATTACTTCAGAATTTTTTCCACTTTTAATACAACTTATAAGCTGCACAACTGAAAAACAATTTTAAGTCTTTGGGGGGAGAAAATAAAAATAAAATACTTACAATAAAATGGTTGCATAAGTGTGCACATCTTTTCAGAAATAGGGCTATGTCAGTGTTCAGAATTAACCAATAATATTCGACTTGATGTTAGTCATTTACAGGTTGGCGATACACACTTGTACATACCTGCCATCAATTAGACTCTGATCAAGCCCATATAAAGTTCAGCTGTTCTAGTCAGATTTTTTTTTTCTTTATATCTACTCTGCCTCTTACAGCAAAAGCCATGATCTCCACAGAGATTACAAAGCATCTTATTGGAAGGTATCAGTCAGAAAGGTACAAACATTTTTTCCAGGCATTGGATATACCATGGAACTTCAGTGATGACAGTCATCTGCAAGTAGAGAAAATATGGCATAGTAGTGACATTACTAAGAACTGGATGTCCCTTCTAAACTTGATGAACAACAAGGAAACTGGTCCGAGAGGCTGCCAAGAGATCTACAGCAACAATGAAGGTTAAAAAGGTGTCCCTGTGGATTTTGTTCCGTTAGTCGTCAGTCGGCTATAGAGGGCAGTACTCATCTTCATTTTAAGGCCATTGAGTCAGAGCTCTCCAAAGACATTTCCAAGGTCATGTGGCCAACATGGCATCACAGAATGCTCTTATCTTGTCACCGAAATAGTACCTATTTCAAGACCTGAACTCCACACGACAGGGTGAGTCCTCACCCTAGCTCCTGCTAATCTAACATTAAAGGAGATGCAGAAATTTCTGGAAAGTACTGATGGTGTACTAGATGTGACAACCATCTTCCATATTCTTCATATGTCTGGGCTGTGGGGTGGCAAGATGGAAGCCTTTTCTTTAAAGAAAAAACATCCAAGCCTGGCTAAATTTACAAAAACCTATTATTAAGTCTGACAAAAGCATGTGTGAAAAGATGTTATGGTCCTGATGAGATCAAGGTTGAACTTTTTAGCCATAATTGCAAAACGTATGGTGTACAAACAACATCGCGCATCAGTGTGTTTCTGTACCCTGTACCCGCAGTGAAGAATGATGGTGGCAGCGTTATGCTTTGGGGCTGCTTTTCTTCAACTGGAATGGAGGCTTTGGTCAAGATGGAGGGAATTATGAACAGTTCCAAATATCAGTCAATTTTGGCACAAAACCTTTCAGGCCTCTGCTAAAGTGCATGACAATGACCCAAAGCATATCTCCAAATCAATAAAACAATGTCTTCCCCAGAAGATGATCAAAGTTCTGGAATGGCCCAGGCAATCCAATTGAAAATCTATAGGGTGACCTGAAGAGAGGTGTGCACAGGAGATGTCCTAGCAATCTGACAGATTGGAGCACTCTTGCAAGGAGTGGGCAAAATTCCCAAATTCCTACCCCAAAAGACTGAATGCTGTCATAAACTGAGAAGATACTTCAGTAAAATACTAGTTTAAGGTACACTTATGCAACCATGTTATTGTAGGTGCTTTAATTTTATTTTTCCCTCTAATTTGTTTGTTTTTCAATTGAACAGCTTATGGTTTATATTAAAGGTGGAAAAAAATTGAAGTTATTTATCTTGGTCTGTTGTTTTTTGCATCTCACAAACCTGGCATTTTAACAGAGGTGTACAGGTAATCCTCAACTTGCAAACACGATTAAGCCTAAAATTTATGTTGCTAAGACAGTTAAGTGATTTTTGCTCCATTTTATGACTTTTCATGCCACAGTTGTTAAGTGAATCACTGCAGTTAAGTTAGTAACATGGTTGGTAAGTAAATCTGGCTTCTCTACTGATTTTGTCAGGTCACAAAAGGTGTTCAGATAATCCCAGGACACTACAACTGTTATAACTATGAGTCAGTTGTCAAGTGTCTGAATTTTGTTCACATGACCATGAGAATACTGCAACAGTCCTGTAACTTTGAATGGCTACTAAATAAGTTGTTGTAAGCTGAGGGCTATCGATATAGACTTTTTATATCTGTTGTACTTTATATCTTATCAGTTTTAATATAAAAAGAATCAGCTCACAGATAATGGGAAATATACATGCCTGCCTTATGCAATTTGGATAAACGTTACCAATTGTAGCTGTTTTACAAATGCATTAGGCTGGAATTCCCAAGCTAACACAGCCATTGACCATATAGTCGAAATTCAACACAGGCCAATGGCTAGAAAAATAAAATAGTCATATCTAAGGTTCTATCCACTATTATCCTTAAAGATCATTTGCCTAAACTAGGAAAAGCATTATATACTGTACAAACACATGCTTCTAAATAAGAAATATGGAGCATGTGAAATAGGTTTTTTACTTAGTGAATAGAACTTTTTCACACTGAACCAGCTTAACAGATTTATTAAATCTTGCATAATGTTATATCTTTTATACTTACATTTGCTGTGAAATTTTTAGAAAAAAGGGCCAAAGTTGATGACACTTTTCTATATTTAATGTTTCCAGTTGGAATCTGATGTACAGTTGTTTTCTTGTGTCATGTGTCTTTTATTTGCCTCGTTGGTTACAACTGATAATTTCCTAGCAATATGAAGGAACTCACTGACCAATACAAAAACGTATTTACACTCTAGCAGTTGCAATCTCATTGCTGCAACTGCATGTGAAAACAGTAGAATATCTTATTTTTATCTGATGGCAATATCAGTTAAAGGAACATAGCCCTTCAGTCATTTATGGTCGTTTCTCATATGTTCAACAGTTTCTTTTCAGTTTCGGGCTTAGCTCATTATCTTACTTGGCTTTTGGCCATTATCTGGCTTGTTCAACGTCTCAATGTGCAGCTCTATAATGACTGATAGTATTAAGAGTGCCTACTAGTTTCATTTCCCTAAAACTGAATTATAATGATGCAAAATATTTGCTTACATCATTCCACTCCTCATTCCACTTATTTGTTAAGCTTAAAAGTTGTTTATTTGTTGGTAAATGCCCCCTTTGAATGAGACTCTTCTAGTGAGGCATATAGAGGTAAAAATAAAGTATTGAAATGGATCCCAATATTAACAAAATCAGTTGATTAAACCTACCCAGAAAATACCTGATTCATCTAGATTGTTTTACAAACATAGCAAGAAATATAGTTGGTTCCTCAGATTTTTCAGTATAAGTTTGTTCCTCTTTAACAAAAGGGAAATAATCTTCAAAATCTTTAACAAAAGGGAAATAATTCCAAGCATGCCAGTGTGAAGAGTGGTCATCAAGGTATTTATGTCAGCTGAAATTCTGCTCTAATAGTCTAATTAACCACTATGAGATTTGTGCTTATTTATGAATATTGCCACTTTTCCATGCAAATACTGCAAAAAAACATTGTTTCAACTTGTCAAAGTGTGTTTATATGATTTATGATATTGTAATGTTTGTATATAATCTTTAGAATCACCAATTCCCAGTTTTCATCAGAATGGGAAGAAAAATACAAGTCATCTGCTTTTCCTTATATTTACAATTGCTAATTGTGTAAGATGTCATCCACAGAATAAGGCAATTCTGAACATTATTTTCTGCACTGTTTTAGCTCTAGAATGGTTTTTTAAATCAAATGAATGAAATACAGTACCAACATGCACTGAAGTGACATCTTCCTGTCTCTTTCCTCC